ATAATTAAAAACAGCAATGTTATTTTATTATAATATCTTCATGATTCCGTAATATTTTTATGTCTCTGATATAAATATTAACCTTAAACGTCCAACATTGTTGGTAACAAAAATCCATTAAAAAAATCTCTTAATTAGGCACTCCAGCCGAACATCTTTGATAAATTTCAGTATAGAAATATTTTAATAAAGTAACTAAAAAAACATATATCAATATCAAAACTGGATTATATTTTTTTTTTTTTTTCAAATATTAAAAAAATAATTGTACGTACACTAATAATTAATAAGATCCTATGATTACCTTTAATGGAAATTAAACCTTTTGAAAAGTTTTACACAAATGTTTGTATCTTAGAATTTATTATTAGAGTGCTACCAATGGGTAGTTTCTCAACAAGCGTGTTTCATGTGATTATATTACTCTGTACACATTTACTTGATGTATTCATACCAATACAGTAATAAATATCATAATAAAAGTTTAAAAAAGTTTAAGAATTTACTTTTTTGTTTACATTTATGAATTTTGATGAATTTTTTTTCCAAACTTTTTATCTCATAAATCCTTGATATGTTATGAGTGAAATGTGCGATTTATTATGAAAATATACTCAGTTGTCTTATTATTTCTATATTATGACGTTTTTATACTTACTCCCCAGCTGAACGACATTTGAAGATGTTATTGACATTATATATTAATTTATTTCAAGTTCCCTCAGCTATGGCTACTGACACAATTTTCCATTATAAACGGCACTTTTTCCTAGTATACAGGCATGTATATACATATATATCCTGAAGGATGAGATAAGAGAGACGAAGATGGAATTTCCTGGCAGCTGGGAGGGGGTAGCTATGACAACGGGGCCGTGAGAACTGTTCCCTTTAATTGAGAATCGTCCCACGCCAAGCCGAGTCCAAGGCTCTTCGCAATCGACCAGTCTGAGGCGCTCCAAGGCAATGTCACCTGCTCACAGCTAGCTAATTGTTTTATATATTTAGCATAAATCTGATAATTAAGAACTAGTTTATTGACTTAAATCAATACAACAATACGCATGCTTTACGCGTTTCCAGTTCGGCCCGCAAAAGTTTCTGTGATTGAGGGGTAAAATTTAAAAAAAATATGATATTTATTAAATTACTCAAACATGAGGTTACTACAAAATTTCTTGCACGAGTCGTTTTTTTAATAAAGATCATTTTATAGACGAAGTGTCATTTATAGAAATAAATGATTTTTTTTTTATCTTAAGCCGTGGCTCGCAGGACTTTCAAGGTCTCAAACCGCAAGCCAAAATGTTTGGAGATCCTTGATATAGACAATAATATTAGCTCAAAATACTTCCATTCAGATTTATTTCTAATAAAACGATCATGTTATAATTATATAAATTATTTTTTACTGTTACTGTTTAAGCTCCGTGGTTACTATCTAAAAGTGAAGTCATACCATGCTATATATAGATTGAGCCAAGTGACTCAACGATTTCAATATAATTACGTTTGAAACCAGAAAGCAAGGAAAAGTGCAGTGAGCAAGGACGTTTAATTATTAATTCATTTGGTTTTATTAACTGAACTAAAAAAAAAAGCGACAATAAATAATATAAACAATCTCTGTTATGTTATAAGCATCTCGCATATCCTCACCAAGGTCAGTCAATGACACATGTACTCTCTTCCAAGAAACTTTATTAGTCTCTTCTCCCTAAAAACAGCCAACGAAAGCCGATATGTAAAAAATGTAGTTTGTATACAATGTATTTTTTTTATAAATTTATTTATTTCCCTTAAGACTTCCTTCAAAGCAAGTCCTATTTAGCCAGTATATTACTATGTTTCTTAATTAATTCTATGACTCCGATTGATTTATTGATTCTTAATTAAATCTTGAAATTCTATAGTAATGGTCTTAAATTTCGTAATGGCTATATTGACTGTAACTAATATAACGATTTAATCGTTTTATAGGCTTAAAGAAGTTTTATTGAACTTACATATAAGTTTACGAATCCCAAAAGAGCATAAGTGACTTAAATAGGTGCATTTATCTCCTTTAAGAATTGTCCTTATCCACGAGCATTGTCTATATTGAGTGACTTAAGATAACTAACACTATCATCAACAGCTAAACTATTTCTCCTTGCATTGGAAGGCAATGCGTGGATCTTTAAGGCATTGGCATGTCGGGCGGTAACCACCCATTACATGTAGAAATTTATTTATTCTACCATAGTTAATTCTGAGTCTGGTCAGCTTCATTAAGGTAGGGCGATCAAGGTGAAATTTAAGTGTCGCAAACCATGGAGATACACAATCTTGTATGTAATAAGGTGATACACAATGAGTATAATGAGTAAGTGTTTGTGTATCATGGTGTGACGTCATCTTGTTTATTCTGTCCGGATGATGCATTGATGGAACTTTGACGGAATAGTTAGTCCTTCTAGACACAATGTTGTGTGGTTATTCCAAATATAACCTGATATTTAAATACCTGCTATGATCTGTTCGATATTTCTTTCTAAATATCTTGGTTTTGAAAATTCTCGAAAAAACTGTTTACATTAAAAATTGTCACAAAACCGCTAATTATTATTACATACATGATAAATGAGTAATTAACAAATAAAATTAGATCAGTATATAAATATTTAACAGTTTGAAAAACATTATTGTTTTTGCTTGCATTAATAATATTAATTTTATTTTAATTATTACGTAATAGAATAATTTTTTTTTTTTAGTGATTGTTAATTAATATATTGTGAACATGAAATAAAAAAATAAAGTAATAATTAATAAAATAAAATAGTATAATTTGATCTGTTAAATGATAAAGTGAAATATGAAAATAAAAATATCTGTACTTGTTATAAAATAAAATGCATATTCATTATGTAATGGAATAATTTATTTAAACAAAAACAAATTAAACGATGACACCACTACAAACTTATTTTACATTTCAAAATACTCTATTTATTAACTTATAATTTACAGATCAATAAACACGATAATTGAATTGGCACAAAGATGACCAGAATATTTTAATGTTTAAAATCAGTCATTTACGTATGAATTGACGCAGTTTCTATAAATACACATTTTTTTCATATTTAAATGCATAGTAAGTGATCAATATGTTTTATCTTTTGTCGTATTTTTGATCCTGAAGGTCAGACAAACAAAGGCGAGACGTACATCTCAAATTATAATAAAATTTGTGTACATAAATTGTAAATTAAATTGAAACTACTAAAATCCGAGTGTGGTGAATAAATTATTTATTTGACTGTTTCTTATAATTACAGAATGGCAAATATAGTTAATATTAAACCAGGAAAAAATGTGTACAACCAAATAATATTTTTCATCATTTTTTTTAATAATAATTAATACGTAGAAACAATGAAATAAAATAAAATTTTATAATCAAGATATACCAGATCACTCACCGTCAACACTTATACACATAAAAACTCTGACGTAGATAGTAAACATACTCATCTCTGAATATAAATGTGTAAATATTGCATAAGTTAATTTAGTTTTATGTTTCACGTAAAAAACAAACACACGTTTAATTCTATGATTCGTTCTGAAGAAAAATTTACATTATAATAGGCCAGTTTAATAATAACTGCCTAATACCATCATGATCATCGATATGAAATGTCGAGGTAGAGAAAAAAATTATAATAGAACATGGAGTAGCAATTTATATATTTTTAACTACATTACAAAAAAAAAATTATATTTTTAATACTGTACAAATAAAACTGACCAATACATATCCGCTAGGATATAAAACCATATATTTGTAAATACTTGCTATGGTTTACAAATATTGTGTACTAGTCTGTAAATATTTGTATTTATTATTATAATTTACGCAACAACGATGACAGAGATCTAATTTACTATTTTACTTAAAAGAAAACAAATAATACATTTTTAACAATAGTACAACTAATTCGGGTTGGTAGGTGAGCTTTTTCACCAGAAATAGATTTTATTTTGTCACCAATTTTTTTTTTTTTTCAGTTAATCTCTTCTGACAATCACTTGAACAAACCTTTCACTTCATTAATTTCCCGAAAGGAGTTTATAGCCTCATAATAATTAACACAACCATGCTACAATACTGAATAATTAAACATTTATGTCTCTATTTTATTTTACATGCGTTTCGTTAATCTGCTAATCAAGGATGTCTGCCATTGGAATCACTTGTTTTTCGTATTGTTGACTAATTGAATGTTTTAAATGATAATTTAAGCATTCAGTAAATTTATTCATTTTAAACGTAAATATTGGCATTCAAAAATTTAATTGATCACTTATAACTATGGATCAATTTCTATAGAAGAGATTTTATTTGAAAAAAACACAGTGTCATTATCACTTAAGATTACGAGTCTCCAAATTACTGTTTGCGGAATGTTTTTTATTTAATATTTAATATAATATAATATTATTTAATATTATAATATAATATTTGACCGTTGCATCATAAAGGAAGGAGATGATCCGGGGTGGCGGTCATAAATAGGCTAAATAGTGCTAAAATTATTTTATAAAAAGCTAACGTGGAGTTCTAAGCGAATCTCCTAGCTGAAGAAGATCTGCTAAGTCGGGTTGAAACGTTGCCTTGAAATAAAATAGTTTTGGGACTATTTATCCTATTTATGACCGCTACCCCGGACCATATCCTTCCATTGTAAGTTGTTTATGTATTGAAATGGTTTTATGGTAATCGTGTTTACACAAGCATTTGTTGTAAAAAGGAGACCGTCTGTTTACGGACGCCTCAGGTAAGGATTTCCCGTAGTAAATTTCCTGAGGTAACCGTTCCCAGGAATGCCAGCAGACCCGAACTGCAGTTACTACGCCACTACGCCACTACCTGCAGCAGCTGAAGGAGGACAATGGGGATAACACAATGTCTGCCCCGTCCCTACCTGCCTCACAACCGCATTCTTTTCTCCTCAGGTAATCCTCACTAATCCTCAGGAAGTCATCATCCGAGGCTGACCTCAAGCCTTCCTCACCCGTCTGGCTTCCTCGATACCATACCATAATGCCCCTATTCCGAACGGCCGGATATTTATACGGTTGATATATCCGAACCCCGGCGGGTAGGAAATAACCCTGGAGCCCGGCCAGGCCCCTCGCACTGATAGTGATTCCCAAACAGAGTCCCTGCCAAGACCCTTTCAGCCATGATTTATCTGGTGTAGATGTATCGCATGGAAATAGTGCGCCAGTCGTGCAGTCCCCGCTGCAACCCGGCTTAGTCGAGCCAACATAACACTACAAAAGATAGCTTAGTCCTATTGATATTATTAACAGTCTAAACACTAATAAAGGAATACAAAGCACGAAACACTTTTTTACTTTAACTTACTTATAGATGTAAAATGATGCTTCATTGTACTTAAATTTTTCCTTTCTGATATTCCAACAATATCCGCTAACAATTAGTATGACAACTTCTGAGTAATATATAATAGGCAATGCAAATCTTGTATTTCCATTATAATAAACTTTGCAATGGTAAATCACTGTTTAATAATTAATGGTCGTACTTACTATCCATAATCAAAAGTTGATATAATAAATAGGATTTTTGTTAGCTCTTACTTAGGTTAAAATGCGCTTCAAAAATTTGATAATACCCCAAAATAATTTCTATTCGAGATAGAGTGGTAAGTGAAAGTTGTGTGTTGCACGCACCAGATTAATTTGTTCTTATATTTCTTATCCCCAGTTTAGAAGGTTTGTCTTCATCATTGATGAATGATGTTATACATTCCTTAGACTGTATCACAGATAAATTTTAAGGTTTTTTGAAGCATTTTTCAGTTCTATTTAATCTTCATTTCTTGACTGTTGATCAGGGTGTTGGGGCTCACCTCTGTCTTGACAATTTTAAACTTAAAATCTGCCTTACAACTATATTTCGCCATATCTTCCTATTACATATAATAATAATAATAGCCTTCATTATGCAATGAATGATTTATTTTACTAATATGTTTGTACTTCACGTCATCATAGGCCTTCCAAAAAAACAGAATAATAGTCTAATATTTCCAGATGATTAATTCTACAGGGAAGAGGGAGTTGTGTTCAATTCCTTCCAATTAGATGTCCATATCTTTTTGTCCTTAGCTATTATCCAGCAGGTGGGAACGGACTTTTCCTTAAGGAAGTTCCTCCATCCCATCAGCTGTCTTTCTTTGTTCCTCTTGTATACGGTTTCCCCTCAGTCCCTTGGGACAATTTATAGTCTTCTCTTCGTAGAATATGATCTAGCTAGTTTTTAATTGTTAGTATTGATAACATCTGTATATATTAGTTTTAATACACTAAATACAATACTATAATACAGATCCGTTCCATCTGGAGTGATCGACTTAAATCTGAATAATCGAACGAAAGGGAATTCCACGTAGAAATGACGTAAGCCAATTATAAACGTTAAAATATTTATTTCAACTACAATAAAAGTCATTCAAAAAGTTGCTAGGAATAAAAACTCAAATGGTTTCAAGAGCCGACGAAAGAGGTGGGATAAAGTTTCAAAGATACTGAAGCGGACATCAAGACCAATTTGTTTTATAAGGATGTATTTTGAACTATAACAACTGAATTAAAATTAGTTTGCAGGATCTTGAAAACGGCTACTGAAGCCGAAACGTTGAATAAACAATACAGGATGTAAAAACTGTGTACATTTGGTGACCTTTGGCCTAATATTTTATAAAAAAACTTATGAGAAAATGGCACCGACCTGAATGATATGACTAAAAAATGAAATAAACAAATTGATTTTTGTAATACATCGTTTGCATTTGCTGATGACATTATGCTAATGACTGACAGTAAAGAAAATATACTTTTCTTTTAAATACTGTGCACTTTTAAAGTTGAAAACAAAAAATAAATGTTCAGTCGAAATATGGTTGCCCAATTAGGTAAAAAAAAAATGTTTGAAAATAATTTATTGATTAAATAACAGTTGATAGTAATGGTTTAAATTATGAGATTAATTTGACCCTCGGGTTATCCCAACAAATAATGTGGAGCGTAATCACGAACAAACACTCAACGCATATTTTTAATTACATAGATTTAAGATCAAATACGTTTGATTGCCTCTTATCTGAAGAAATTAAAGCTAAAAAAAAAAAAAAAAAACACTTCCTCAATAATCTCGTTATCAGTATTTACATCAAAAAATGTTTATCTGTAAATACAGACAAACATTTTTCTATAAGCTAGGTTCTTGAACAGATTTAGAGCTAAAAATCCGACTTAAAACGTTATATAAAAAAATGATAGACCTATTATAATTATAATTATTTACTTGATAAAAGTGATATAAATTAATTCTTGTTAATGAGAGCAAGAAGCGGTTATATAATCAATGAAAGGAGTGGGCCATGTAGAAGGGGTCAAAACTGATGTCATACAAATTTATGACGGGGGGGGGATGGAGGAGGACGAGAGGGGAAAACGTAGGCATTGTTCTCAACCTCTCCAATCGCCTAATTACACCGAATCGTATCTGCAATTACAACTGCAATCACGGGAGCAAAACTATATCTACAATTTAGATAAATATCTTAAAAAACTCTTAAAACTAAGGACTATTAAGATGAGTTTAGACACTTCACAAACAATAAACAAATATTTAAATAGATGTTTTCCTATGCTAGTGTTTTTTTATGTTTTCCACAAGCTGTTAGTAACAGGAGAAATAAAATTAAAGGTTGGTGTTTCCCTTAGAATGTGAAATGTCTAAAAACACTTTTATATCATACAAAAAAAATCGACCAATTTGGAATTCTTTTTAAAATAGGCAAGTAAAGACATTTTAACAAACATAACAATGTTATCGGATAAAAAAAAATATATATATTCCGAAGAACAACTGAAGGTTATTTTTTAAGAATTCATAATTTTTACAATATTACCTTAACGCTTTTAATCAAACTTTTGCATCACTATAAAATTTCAACTCAGGCCTTTCATTCTTTGACATTAAATTTTATTTGTAATAATGAAATCACACATTAGATCCTAATAGTCCTGTTTTATTTTTATTTTACATTCAACGTTTCAGCCTATAAGATATTTTCAAGGAAAGAATCCTCTTAGCAAACCTCACAGCCTTATTACATTTGCTCATTACTTATCCTCAAAATCGTTGTGTATTTACATAGGCTTATTTCAATATCCAACAATACATAGGAATAATTTAATCATGTAATTTTTTAAATAAAAAATGTAGTTTGAAATATATTATTCATAAAAATACGATCAATTTGAGTATAAAGTGATAAATTGAAAATGTTTAAATAAACATTATGAGGATGTTTTAGGAATAGTCATTCAAATATTGTGAAACGAGCAATTTAACTCATATGAGTTTATTTTTATATTATACTAAAGTATGTAAATAAAAAATGATTATGGAAATAATTAATCAGCAAATGTAATGAGGCTGCTATGTTTCTTTTTACTTGTTAAAAGATTTCTTACCTTCAAAATCGCCTAAGGGCTGAAACGTGGAATGCAAATTTTAAAAAAAGTAGGACTATTCGGATATGTATTTTTATTATTACAAATAAAATGAAATCTTAACCAACAATATTGAAATATATACATACTAACTAAATTTTATCTTAAGATAAGAATAATGGTCTAATATTTCCAGATGATTAATTCTACAGGGAAGAGGGAGTTGTGTTCAATTCCTTCCAATTAGATGTCCATATATTTTTGTCCTTAGCTATTATCCAGCAGGGGGGATAGAAAACATTAGATCATTCCTATAATATCTTTTTATTATAATGTCGAGCTTATAAATATTATAACTACTAATCAACTAATTACAGGGAAACAAAGAAATATCTAGGATTCAAGAATAAACACAAAAACCGTAGTATAAATATATAATGTAATAAACGGTATATTAAAGTTTTGAGACGCGGTAGTTCATACCAGATATCACAATAGCGAGAGAAAAAAAATTGCACTTCCCTAGATTATTCAAAGGGAAATTAATTTTAAATTGAAACAGGAATAATGGTTAAATAATTCAATTTTCGCCGTTGTACAGCGTTTCAAAAGGATCACCAACGTTTTCTTTTAAGCCAGCCGACCTTTCGGAATAAAAAAGGAGAAGGAATAAACAAGACAAAAGGAATAATGGTGGCTTACATTAATAATGCAAATCCAAAAAGAAGGAAGATAAGGCGCGCCATTAAAGGAGAGCGTGTTCCGGGAGGGTGAAAGTTGATCGTGGATCAGCCGCCAGGGCAGCCAACATTCCTGCACAATCAGCTCGGATGCGGGTCAGGTCGTTGGCAACACTGCCGCTGACAGCTGTCCCTGCCGTGGCCACTCCGGCTCCCAGCAGGTCCTCGCGGATCTCTTTCATCAAATATCAATCGATATGGCCAATTAACGGAGTGAATATCAATTCATAGCGTCTCAGGTATCGGATCTACAAGGTTACCTGTTGTGAACTGTGGGGTACTTTAAACAATAATCATTAAAAAAAACTCAGTATACCTTCCTCAATATTTCCATTGGGCACATAATAAATAAACTATATGTCAAGATCTATGGTCTGCCAGACTTCTTGAGGAAAGAAGTGAACCTTCCTTTTCATATGTTGGCTGCCAGAACATTACATTGGTTACAACTAGTGTTACCCGAAATCGGTCTTGGTCTTGCCCTTTGCAACACCCTAACTGTTGCAAGACCAAGACCAGGAATGGTAAAGAATCGAGTTTTTAAATAAAAAATTAGGGCAAGATAGTTGTTACTAATACTCGACAATTTTAGTTAATATATGTCAATAATTGGTATAACAAATATACTTTTGCATTTTTGCATATATGTCAATAATTGGTATAACCAATATACTTTTGCATTTAACTCCTCTAATTTTTGATTCGGGCTTAGTTAAGTTTTTTCTATTTAAAAAAGTACAGTAATATCTCTATAGTAATAAGCTAATAAGTAACTGCAAGACTGTTGCGAGACTCTTGCGCCAGACCAAGACTCGTCTCGGTTTCTCATTTGGGCAACACTAATTATAACAGGTTATATTGATTTTAATTGTTAAACAGAATTTATTGAAATTGCTACTATCAAAAGTGCTGTTTTTGGAATATATGCCTATCAAGGAAAATACATATAAGCGTATATATTTTATAAAGGTAAAGAAATACTTATCCAAAGATTACATAATTGGGAAGTAAGATGGGATTTATGGAGCATTTAGTGAAAAGCACAATTAAATCTAAAAAAAAATAATTTTTTGTGCCGGCGTTAAGTCTCAATCTGCCTTCACCAAGCCTGAGAAAAGAGAAGATAACCAAACAAATTATTAAAAACATATTAAAACTATATGAAAATAATATCGCATAACATCCACGGTTATTTCTTTAAATATTTATTGTAATTAATTCAAAAATCTCTCACATCAGAAGATATTTCCTTTATCAACAAAAATTAAAAACTATTAAACAAATAAAGGTATTATTGCTTTATTTTTTTATAATTTAGCTATAACCATGTAGTCCGTGGTACAGACTCCTTTTGTCAAATTGTTAACATCCGCCTGAAATATTTCATCTAACCTACAACTATTTTAGTTATGAAAATTCTGAGAATTAGAGCGTTTTATGTTTGGAGATCGGCAAACTTTGTCGATTTAAACCAAAATTTAATTAGGTAGAAAAAATTCGCAAATAAACATTTACTTTCCACCTGAATATGAAGATAATTTGAGCACAAAATCGAGGCAAAAGGTGGCCAACAAAAATATTGAGCCGTTTGGCCTGACCTACACCTCCAAAATATAGGCCAAACAGCCCAATATCTTTGTAGGTTACATTTATTCAAAATTTTGTGATCCAATTATCTTACGATCCGAGTGGGAAAAAATGGGTATTTATGAGTTTTTAGTGTCTAATTAAATAGACAAAGTTTGAAGATCTCCAGATTGAAAACGACCCAATTTCAAGAAAAAGAAGAAGATATTTCTAGGTTAGGATGTGAAGAAGCTATTTTGCGAAATTTTAGGCGGATGTTAATAATCCGATAGAAAGTGGTTTGCATCTCGGACTAATGTAAAAATATTCACTATCAAAAAATTATTTTATTTTATATTCTGAATAAAGGCTAAGCATTTAAATTTTTTATTCCAATGCTGTTATAGACTAGTTATTAGGTTATAATGTTTTTTATAATTAGATTTAATCATATTTGCACAGTTATAATTATTATAGAAAGCTATTTATGCTCTGTAATGTTTATTCCTCAAAGGCAAGTGTTTCAATGTCAAACAACAGAACGGTTGCGGGCGTCAAACATTCTAAGCTATTAGGGAAGACCTAGCGATGCCATGACATCAGCTCTCTACGTGATCCCGATACGAAAAACCTCATGAAGCAATACAATAGCAGATTTTAATTGTCTTATCCTTTCAAAATGAACACAGCTGATGATGTATCTATATTAAAAAGCTGTGAAATTGTAAGGGAAACCAAAACTTTTGTATACAACTTTTGTTAGTACTGTGAAAAAAATAAAAATAAAAAATAAGCATAAGTTGTTTTTTCTAAGACGATAACCTCACAAAATATTTAAATTGGTCATGAATAAATATGTTCACGATAAATCAGAACACGGAAACGACTACAAAAATAATAAAAATAAATAATTAAATAGAAAAATTAGTTGCATCAATTGGGGTAAGCTAAGCCTGCCAACTACAACATATTGAACCACAGTCGAACATCTTAATTCTGCGAACGTAGCCAGAAACAAATTTTTCTTAAAACGGCTACACCGTTCTCTTTTGCATAATCTCCCCAGTGTAACCGGAGCGCAGATCTTGGAAGCCTTCCAGACCAATCTCGAAATACCCAGTGATGTTGGGTACTCCAAATAGTACAAAAGAAAAAGTCGACACTGGGTATATTGGCCTTAAGAAAACCAGCAGTTTAGATTCCTTACGCTATATTATTTTTATTTTGATACTCCAATAAATATATAATTGTACTGACTTGATAAATACTGTCATATTTTGTTAGTAACAACATTTCGTCCCACAATTGAAAATATTACTAAAAATCCATTATTTTTATCATTCATCAGTTCTCCACATGCCTATTTAATCATATCTCTTTTTGAGATCAATTCTCACATTTTAATATCATTCTAACGTATCCAAGTTGTTTAAGATTAATTTCATTTAGTTTTATCACTAGTAGTATCTTATTATTTTGTCAACAACCCTTACTAGGGATGGGCGATAGTCGATAATTGATATATCGGTAGTTTAAAACTATGGAGATAACCAGTGACTATAGATAGTTTGTATCCTGAACAAGAAGAAGCCTTCATGGTAAAAAAATAATTTAAACTGAAATTACTTTCTTAGAAATATTTTTTCACTTACAGTTGTGCTGATGGAAAACAAAAAAAAATGTTACCTCACCTTTTTTTATTTATTTTTTCACAAAATAAATTTATAAAATACCAAGGATACCATTACAGTTTTATTATATTTCAAGTACTATTATCAAAATAAGATTAGAATCTTGGAGAATAAAAGATATAGGCATTTCTCGCCACCTTTTTTTACTAAATGTCAATGTGCCAAAACATCGGCACTCATAACAATAAAAAATATGACTAATAATTCTGAATATTTATCAAACAAAATAAGCTTCCAAACAGTCAACTAACTATATGTAATCTCAAAATATTTATACTAGATTTATATTGATTCAGAACATAACTATTAAAATATTAATAAACATCCCAGCTCGTTGATTAAACATAGTGAATCTATAATCGTCAATAAAAGTTTCTTATAAGCCGCAGAAAGGAATTTTCCGAATAAGAAAGGAATATTTAGAACCCATTAATCCCACTAACAACCCAAACCGTTTAGGTTAATAACATAATTGGAGATAACGACCGAACAACAAGCGGAAACGAGGGACAGAAATTTCTCAAGAATATCATTTTAGGAGGTTTATGACTAGAGTTAAGGAAATGATTGTAACCTACAGGAAATCATGTACTTAAATGTGTGTGCATATATATATATATAGGATAATTATTTTGTACATTACTTCTTAAGCAGTAACATTTTTGGACAAAAGGTTAGGTTAGGAATTGACGTAAATATCAAGACAACCGTTAGGATTTTTTCTGAGGATGAAGAGGGTCAGGTACCTAATTTTCAGGAATGTCTTGTGGCTAATCCTCTAAGACCGACTTACCCTTATACAGTAAATCTCAAATACAAAATCTTACGGTACGTTCGTGTGATAGAAAGGAGTAAGTGTAGTTACAAAATATGCATGAATGGTAACTAATGCACTTATTTTCTAAACTAATATTTCATTCAAGAGAACTTGAAAGCAAACTAATGGTAATAATAAATTAAAAAGAATGATAAAAACTGAACAAATGACAAAAAGTTAAGAATTAGCCAAACTTTATCTCAGTATGGGGAATAAAGCCAGCGCTGAGCTCATTGATGGTATCGGAAATCCAACGGACTGCTCCTTTATTCGTCGATTGAATCACTGATGGCTTAGCGATCCCTTCAATTTTTGGGCCGCTGGATTTAATTTCTGGTTGTTATTTCTCCATTTATTTCACGTAATTATAATTAGTTTACTTTCAATCTACATTTATTTCTCTTTTGAAATTTTACAATTCAAGATGTGGCCATTTCCGTATAATTTTTTTCATGCGGATTTTAACCTTTTAGGAGTGTTAAACTTCATCAGGAATTCAGTATGTCGTTCTCTAACTCAGCATAGTTCGGTATCCATCCATTTTTTTTTTAACATCTTGTTAAATGATTAATATTTATGTTTTAATTTTGAAATAATATAAGTCCTTTATTTTGGTTTTCTATTTATTTGTTTAAACTATCTAACACCATGAGGAAAATATATACATTACTGGTCTATGCTTTTACTTTCCTATTCCTATACGATTAAATTAGAGCAATGTTTAGGAACTTGTCGTATTATATTCATGTATCATTTAAACATTAAACTCTTCCACAAATCCTTTTATTACAATTTATTTACTTAATATATAAACCTTTTAATGTATAAACCTAACTTGAGATCACGAGTTGTTGGGTTCAATTAACCATCAACTCTAAAAAACTTTATAGCTACATGCCGAGAATTAAGAAAAATCTATGTTGTAAGGAATGATTTTTGAAATATCTCAGTATCGGCGGATACAGATCAGAAGATTTTTGTGCGTTATTTTAAAAATATCGAAAAGGTTTAATTTCTTGTTTTCACTCACTTATAATCTAATCATTTTTCAGATAGATCATCTCACTTTGCAGTAAGACACACAAATACTATTTTCAATATAGAGGAA